TATCACCACGGAGTGGAGGAAAATAATCTGAGGCTTCATTTCTGATCATAAACCAAAACGTCCTCAGACTGGAGGCGACAGCAGTGACGGATGTGAAAACACAGACTCAATAAATAAAACCTTATCAGACTTTTCTCCTCCTCTCTGCGTCCATAAGTCTTCCTCCCTCCATCTCCGTCTCAAATTTATGTCTTTACCTGTTAAACCTCTGCCCCGTTCTAATGCGTTCCATTTGATTCCATTTGATTTAATTCCATTGGTTTTATATTATTCCACTCTATTACATTCCAGTTTATTCCTTTCCATTATTTTCCTTCTTATTCAATCTGGTTATTTGATATTATTCCTGTTTATTGTATTCCAGTTTATTTAATTCTATTCGATTCCAGTCTGTTTGGTTCTGTTCTATTCTTTTCTAATTAAATTTATTCCAATATTTTCAGTATTTCTAACATTACGATTAAAAATGAAGGAACCCTTAAATGAACCCTTTTAATACTATCATATGTGATCCGCTTGTTTTTGAGACCTAATGCTTCACTTTATGGTTTAAACTAGAAATGTTATATGAAGAACTCAACAAAAGTGTGTATGACTTCTCTTGTAACTCATCACCTTGGGATGATAGTGGATAATAACTGTTTGTGCTTTGGTTTTTCTTCTCTTAATGTCCTCAGATGGCCTCCATGGCATTTAAAGAGAAAAGTATTTTGGAAATTTGAGCCCAGTTTTATCTAAAATCATATTCACTGGATCTAGGCTTAAACATTCAGCAATAAGATTTTAAATGGGACATATTATGCAAAACCAAGTTTTTAATCATCTGATTATGTACATTTGGGAGTGTGGAGGGCCTATCAGCAGGCAAAGTGTGAAAAAAAATGACTCAGTCATGTTTTTGTGGGCTGCCTCAGTCTGAATCCAGGAGATAAATCAGGAGGTTTCAGGAGTGGGTAGTTTCTGACGTCATTAGCTCTAGCTCATTATAATATTCCAGCCTTTCACCTGCATGTTGCCCCCCCCCCTCAGCTTACTCCCCTATCTGTGGAGACGTCGTGGTAGCGTGAGCGTTAGCATGGTAGCGTTAGCGTGGTAGCGTTAGCATGGTAGCGTTAGTTGTGTTTGTTGTGTTTTTTTTTTGGGATTGTACAGCACTTTGTATCAACTGTGGTTGTTTTAAAGTGCTTTATAAATAAAGCTGGTATGGTATGGTATGGAAATAGGGTATAACATGTCTCCTTTAAAAATCCCCCTCTATGAGCCGGGCTTGGTCTTATCTCCGGCCGGGTGGGGGGTGCGCCCGTTATCGACTCACGGCTGTGGCAGGTGGCGCCCGTGTACCCGCTGTGGGAGCAGTTGCAGCTGAAGCCGGTCCAGGACTGAGAGCAGAGGCCGCCGTGCTCACAGCGACTGGGAGAACACCTGAGACAGACATGTTAGGATCTGGTTATAAATACTCACTTTAGCATAGTATGCTATCACATGATCTATGTAGATTACTGATTGTTTTATTTCTTTTAGAACTATATGAAGTCTCTGGCTGTAACCACAGATTCTCTTTGTTCTCTCTTTTCTTTCTCTCTTTTCTTTCTCCGCTGCATTAGATCCACGTCTTTAAGTCAACACACACACACATAATTTGGTACCACATTCCAATGTCATCAACATGAATTTACGATCCGGCTTGTTAGTCTTACAGATAACTAACCAATAGGACTTGGTTGTGTCCAGTCCTCCTTTTGAGGGGTGTGCCCAGTTTAGGAGACAAAGACCCATCACCCCCAGATCTCAGGGCTCTTTGCCCACTGAGACCCTGAGAGAGAGGTTTCCTCTGTGAAGAGCCCAGCGCTGAAATACTTTACCTGTGACCCAATAAATGTCAATTTTTACTCTTGATCGACTGGTTTATTCTCAGGTTTCCAACTAAAGAATCGGGCTAACAGACACAAGGACCACGATTGAGGGCAACGGTGGAGAAAAGTGTCCACAAAACCCCAAAGACAAAGCACAGAATTAGAATGATTACGTGGTTTCTGCTCAATAACCTAACAATCTAATTAATTTTGATGCCCTTGTAAACTGATGAGAGGTTTTTAGGTTCCTTTGGAAAGAAAACATCAGAGTTCTTGATTTGAATCCCATATACAGTGGGGGAAATAAGTATTTGACCCCTTGCGGATTTTGCAGGTTTGCCCACTTACAAAGAATGCTTATTTTTCCTCATCAGATGGTTATCAATTTTTTATAAATTCACATGATGTGATTTTCTGGAATTCTCTTTGGGATTCTGTCTTTCACTGTTAGAATGTACATATGATTAAAGTTATAGATCGTTGCATTCTTTGTAAGTGGGCAAACCTGCAAAATCAGCGAGGGGTCAAATACTTATTTCCCCCACTGTAACGTCGGCCAGTTTCACCCTTTTGCTTTGAGCTTTTTCTTAATTTCACCCCAAAGCAAAGTTTCCCATCTGAACAGAGAATATCCTCTATGCTTGTTCCCGGCTCCACGTCTTCTTTGAGTGCTTCTGGGCTGTCTGATGCCACTTCCTCTGTGAGTTTAGCTCCCGTGTGAATGCGCTACAGCGGCAAGTTATTTCCAGATAAACATCTTACCGCTGTAACCATCTTGACTTTAGTCCTGTGTGGGAGGAAGAGACGGGAAAGGAGCCAGACGGGGGATTACAAAACACAACAGCTGTAACGTCTGAGTTGGAAAATGACTTGTTTGTTTGTGTTTCTCGGTGCGTTGTTGACACATGTAAATGCACCAGGAGCTGTTTTCTCAGTTTTTAAAAAGTCCATGGAAAAACAAAGGGGTGTTAAATAATTGATTTCCAGCATCATGCGGTAACATTTTTCCACGTCTCATTTTCCTCTTAACATAGAGCATGGTAATGAAATGTCATCATTAGAAGGAAAGTCTGTGTTTAAAAAGGAAAAAAGAACAGGTTCTGAATACAGAAGAGATAAATGGTTAAAATCAGTTATCCCTCCGGGCCTCTGGGAGGCGCTACAGGAGCCTGTAGTTCAGATCAATAGTAGTTCATCACTGCATTGTGATTTAACTCCTAAGTTTATTTGATTGTATATCAATTAAAACTATCCGATAGAAATGAATTCATAGGTCATAAATTGGTTTCCGCCTCCCCAAAAAGTTTTTGTTTCACGCAAAATATGATACTGAACTTCATAAGAAACAAATAACATATGAAAATAATGAATGAATGAATGAATTCATTTCAGACAATTTCCACCACAAGTAAAGATCGGTAAATGGTCGGTAATTACAAAAAAGAACAAACCTAATCAGAAGGACCTTAAAAAGGCAATTGAATGACTTGCTTCCCTCTAGTGGTGGATGGTGCATTTCGTTCACTTGCAAAAGCACAAAATTGACCAAGTGACTAATTATACTTCTTAAAGAACCATTAGCTGGGTTTTACTGAATAGTTCAAATGCACTAATGTACATAAAAATATCCAATTACTGTTCACTGTTTTACATTCTGTGCATTTTGTAGCTTATTTCTGTCGTCCTGTTGATTTCCCATCAATAAAGTGCAGCACTTTAAATATTTTTTTGAATAAACTATAAATCCCTGGGGCACATAAAGCAGCTTGAAAGGCATCATAATTTAAAATAAGGTGATGAAAAAAACAAAAAGAGAAAAAACAACTCACACAACGTAAGAAAACAAATAATTATCATTGAGATATAACACATATTGTCATACAGCATTTACTGTTTGTGCTCCTCCAGCTCCAGTTTGAATTAGGTTGCTTGTACCTGTGACATAAAATGTCAAATCTCAGATTTCTGTTTTTTTTTGGAGCCGAACCCTGCACATGCACAGCTATACATCTGAATTTAGTCAAGGTCAGCACCTTGTCTCTTTCCATTTGTCAAAAAGGAAAAAAGACAACTTAAATGAAAACTTTAAAGTGGGAAATAGCGCTAAATAGATTAAAAGATGTCCCTTTTTTGTCATAATTCCTGTGTCTGTGACATTGAACCACGTCAAAACAAACAATCCTGATGAAAGCTGCCAAACTGTAACAATAATTCAGGTACACGAGTCACCATAACAGATGAGATAATTAAAAATAATGTTAGAGATGTTGATTTGTCAGATCCGAGGGGGAGGAAAACAAACAGGTCCGTCACAGGTTATTTCATGCTTGACAGTTCCTCTAATAATGAAGCTCTGTCTCTTTGTGGAGATGCTGTTAGTCTGGTTCCGCCTGTATTTATTCATCCCGCGCTTGTTTGTTTGTTTTCCGGGTCCAGCGCAGCACAATATTTTCACCTCGCAAATAGATTGCCTCGCCGAAGAAAAATTGAGATTTTACTTCCCAGAAGTTGGGTCTCATAAAGTTGGGGGTCAAAACAACCACGGCGGCTGAGAAAAGGATGGAAATATTCATTCAAATCTCTGACGAAGAGGCCTGTGTATCGACTCCAGTCCTTCAGACAGTGATGAGACAAAGAGAAAACCCTGATTCGGACCTTTTAAGGCTCGAAATTCCTCTATAACCCCTCAGAGAACAGACTCTTTCTATGGCATCATTGCTAATTTGATTTCAAACTCATTTGTATGCATCACTCTGAGGTGTTTACTTGGCATTCTTAAAACCTGAAACAGTTCATGGCATCATTCCTCGATTTATAAGGTGATAAAATACCTGTGTGGACACCAGGATGGCCGAGTGGTTAAGGCGTTGGACTTAAGATCCAATGGGCAAAAGCCCTCGTGGGTTCGAACCCCACTCCTGGTAACCATATCTGATATCTGGTTTTGATCAGAGCATTTGATATGATCTGCTTTGTGGAGTTTGACTTAAAGATGAGTATTTATAGAAAACCAAACAGTATTCACGGTTGGTTTAAAGGTTGTTCGGGATGTTTTATATTTGAGAACCATCAAAACGAAACATTCACATCTTTTACATTACAGATGTACAACAACACTCATTTGATTTATGACAGAATTGTTCATTTTTTCCAGGAGTAGGGTCAAACCAAACCTCTCGGTTATCCTGGTATTCCATGTTTTCCAGGTTATGAAAGTTGCACGGGGCCCTCACAGGACAAAGGTTCCTGGTTTGAATCCCAGCTGGAGTCTTTCTGTGAGTTGGCATATTCTCCTCTAGACTCTCTGGTTTCCATACAATCCACATACATGTGTGTTGAATCATCATACATAATCTAAGAGGAAAATTACATTCCAAAACTAAGTATGTTTGAACAACAAAAAGAAGCTTTAGTTCATCAATAAGTGGAGTGAAGCTCTGGAACAGCTTGCCTGAAAACATTAAACAATGTAAAAGCATCCAGCAATTCAAAAAAGTATTTTTGATGAATACAAAAAAGAGTAATATATAAAAAGTTGGTATACTGTTTGTCTTACTGTAAATAACTGTCCTTTACCACCATGACACATGTAACTGAGGGGGGAACATGATGCATGTTTATGAAGCATTCAATGCAAACATTGTTAAACCATATCACGTTTGAAAATAAATGAAATGAAATGAAAATTAAATTAAAGTTTCCAACTTAAATAGGGGAGTTAGAATGTGAACAAAGGCAGCGGGGAGGATAAATAATGAGGGCAGCTTTCGGTGGCTCTGACCTGTCCATGATGCCGCACATGTCCATCTGCAGCTGGCTGAAGTTTCCCAGAAGTCTTTGCTGCACCGTGATCAGATCCACGGGCTGGTTCTCCAGAGCCAGGAGACGCATGCAGCCCTGGAAAACACCGAAGGGGTTTCGGCACTCCTGGTCGTGGTCTTCAGGAGGGCAGCCTTCACATGGATGAAAACAGAAGAACAACCAGGAGCGATAAAGGAAACATGGCGTCAGAGGAGCAACGAAAAGCTAAAGAAAGCTTCTGTCTTTAGTTTGAAATCCACCACCAGTACAGTGCAATATCAGTGTCTTTCAAATAATAATGCCCATGTTTCACCTCCCTCTGAAGAGTTATTACAGAGACTCAGAAACAGTCTGGAAGGATGTCTGGCTTCTAAACGATGACCAGGTCAATAAAAGCATTTAGGTTTTAATGGAAGGAAGTATTTTTCTTCTTGTGGGGTTTTTTACACTTTGATTTGTTTTGTCTCGTCTTGATTTTGTTTTCCTGTCTGTGTTGTTGATGAATCAGTTTGTGTTTCATTCTGTCATTATTAGCTGCTCTGTGGGGGGTTTTTCAGTTCCTTTTATAGACCCTATTTTTTTGTTTTAACCCCTGTATTTCTGTTCTGTTTGTTCGGTCTCATAATTAAAACTGATTCCTGTTCTGGATGTTACTCCTCAGTTCATGTTCTGTTTCTTTAAGGGGTCTTAAGGAACAGCTCTCAAGGCTTCTTGAAGGACAACACAAAGCTATTCTATGCCAAATGTTTAAGATAATAGCTATTTGGTAATCAGTTGCTGCCTGTAAAAATCCTATTTTCTGAATATTTCATATTCACAGCTGAAGAAATGGAAAAAATATGATATATTAAATAAATATATATATATATATCACAGCTATCTAGCAAAAAAAATGGCTACAAATCCCATTTAAAACTGGTTCACTGATTCATCCCTTGAGTGAGAGGCTTTTTTTAATAATTGAGGAACAGTCTGGGTTAATTCACTTAACAGACAAAAAAATAAATCCAGAAGTAGTCCTCGAAACCTGACTCTTACCTCCAAAGAAGAGTTGGCTGGATACGGTGACGGGGAAAGAGGGGTTAGCGTGGGCAACACCCCCTTCCTTTTTGTCCACGGACACTGTGAGACGGCCGCTTCTGGAAATAAGATCCACCGAATGCCACTGACCGTCGTTCAGGGAAGACCCTGTGGGGAAAAGTCAATAAAAGCCACAACAGTTGTTTTTTATACAGTTGTGCTACTAAATGTGCCATCTTTACACTTTGTATTCTGTATGTTATTGGTTTAAAAAATGTTCAATAAATAAAGTTGGAAAAAAAAAAAAAAAGCCACAACAAATACGTTGGACCTGATCTTAGATCTTAGATCTTAGACTTTGGTGTCGGGGTTCTTTTTAAAAACTGACCCGCGCTGAGTTCCAGCTCCGCTCTTCCCGGTTTGTACACCTGGAGGCGGAGCCTGGCCTCGCTCAGGTAGACCCAGACCACGCCCCCCGGCGGGGGGAGGCCGAAGCTGAGCAGGAGCCCCGCCCTGTTCCAGGTCCTGAACTGAAACCCCACGGTGAAACCCTCAGAGGGAGGTATCGAAGGCCACGGCAGCTGCAGGAAGCTCTGCGGCCCGGGGAAGGTGGCCGCCACGGAAACCGGCTCGCCACAATAAAAGCTGACGTTTCCCTGCGTGAGGAAGAGGAGACGGGACAGAAAACACCAGATGAATCAAAACATGCACGTGTTTACATTTGAATACACATTTCTCTATGGAAATGCAAACTAAGGAGTATGCATGCATCTTGAGATTGTCCTAAAACCTCTTTAATACTGGGATTTTTCTGGGTTTCCTGCTCAAAGATGCCCAAATAAAATGTTTTTCTTAAATTCCAAAGAAGTGGACAAAGGATTAAAAATATAACAGACTTTTTTCGCTGCATAATTTTCTGTTTTACATTATATTAGGGCTGGGTCTCTCACATGCTAATTACAGTGCAATTACAGAGTAATTACAGATCGAAGAACACATTTATAGGGTCTGTGTGTCCAAAATGTGGGTGGATTCATGCTATGGGCGGGCTTTAATGGGATTTTTGGTATTGATCCGATACCAAGTGAAAAAAGAGCCATTATTACTGATCCTTATGTCTGATATGACACCAAAAATAAGGAGAATTAAATTGAAGAAACTGCTGAAACTCTTCTAAATGGCGCTCTGTACCTGTTGACATTAATTAGTATCTATACTTTTAACAAAGCATCTGTCCTAAAACATATATGTTTGAGATCACTAATATTCTAACTTAGTTTATAACCCCACTGAAAATACAGTGGACCGAACCATTCGATTGAGGGTTTGGTCCACGATCGGATGTCCACAGTCACTGTTTGTCATTTCATTTTGTGTCTGGTGGTCAGAGAAAGGCTTTTTTGTGAGATTTCAGCTAAATTTTGAGTGTTTCTTTGGGCACCAAAGATGTCTACCTTCATTTACCAGCCCTGCACTCACATCCTGGGAAATGTGAACATCCCCCCCCCCCCATAACTGGGACGTTAGGGCTCCAAAGGTTAAGGGAAGACATCATTTCACCGCACTCTCGCTTATTATCGCCATCCTCTAAAAGCTCCCTTTCGGCCGAATTACTGAGTTTGTGTTGAAGCAGAATGAGACCAGTTTTTCTCAGAGGCGCCCCGAGGACACGCCCGACAGGCGGACCCCCTCGTTTAGGCCGCAGGCTGCCCCGGGGTTATATAAGAATGCTCATTATTGGTCAGCGCTGCACAGAAATGGGTCCTCCTGGTCTTTGTTAGTTTGTCTTTGAACCAGCGAGTCAAAACAGGACAGGGAGGAGTCCTAATGCTGCTCTCTCTCTCTCAAACTCATGTTGAACAGGGATTTACTCTGATAACAACTTAATGGTTAGGACACAGACCTGTAGGTTAGGAGATGCTAATGCTAATGCTAATGCTAATGCTCGTGTGGGAATCGGAAAGGATCAGGACTCTATAGAAATAAGATAAAATTGAATTGAATTGAATTGCTGTCAGGGGGCTCCAGGGTTAG